TGTTGATCTACAGAACTGTGCATGGACCTACTGTCGTAACCGGGCTTGGAATGTGATTGTACCACTCTTTGGGAAATCCATCCATTCGGCATATACTCCAATGGAGTTATTGACATAATTTCTTCTAAGATTCGGCTTTGCTATCATAAGTTGCAAGTTGCCCTTCTTCCATTAACTCGTTTTCTTTATTTTCTTGGACGATTTGTTTTGCCCTTTTCAGTACTCCTTTTTTTGTAATTTTTTCTTTTGTGTGTATAATTTGGGCTAAGATAGGGTCCTCTTGATGAGATTCCATGTATTTTCCCATTCCAATAATGGCATTCTGGTATGCCGCTTCTATTTGTCGTAATCCTCTTCCTTCATCTTTCCTGCAGACATATAATCTATCCACATCAGCTTTGTTCAAGTTCAGCATCAAGTTCTTCAAAACAAAACAAATAAAAAATTATTATTATTATTACTTAACGTTTGAAATTTTTTTTTTTTTTAACCCAGGAGAAGTGCAGCATTTCGCACTAACCTCTCCCCACCCAGTAGCAGGAAGAGTGTTGGGGGACTCAGACAGTCACTACCCAACTAAAACTCCTGGATGTGCTTTTCTGCGCTTTTTCCTGGGGAATAGGGGCAGTTGCAGGAGTATAACTCCCATTTCAGCCTCAACCTCAACCCTTCTCTCAAAGCCGGAATCATCAGATCCGAACTTGCAAAGGTGAGAGCAGATTCCCCTCTGGCATAGGTCATTGCAGAGATTCACTCCACCCAATTGGGATACTCCCCTCAATCATGTGGGAGGCATTCCCGAGGTATCACTTTCGGTCCTGCCTCCCATAATTACACATGTCTATATACATACATAATTTAATACAGTATTCATGTTAGAGTGAATTCATATTCAGATAAATGAGAAACATTTGATCTTTCTGTGACCATCCTACGATAATCCCAACAGTGAAAATTTCTTTCGTCTAATTGAAGATATTTTGTGCAAAGGTTTAACTCTTTGTTCCAATCAGGTTTGGGTAAATTGTCCAAGATCCATATTCTAAGATGCCAACTACCATAGGATTTTGGATTTACTCTCACGCACTGTTCTGTCAATTGTAAATCTTTTTCCAATAGTTTTTGATAACTTTCCAAATCCTCGTCGTTTTTCAACGACAAAAATATTTCTCTTCTA